ACAACTCTTGATATGGTTGGAAAGCCTTGGAGAGATCTTTCCAATGCCGCCGAGATTGCACGATTTCGACATCGTATGAGTGAGATATGTCTTTAGGAAGTTGGGTTGTTGGATTGAGGAAAGTCCAATCCGGTTTTAGGGAAGGGCAAAGTAGTCTTTTCTCTAATTAATTTCCTAATTTGATTTTAGGGATTTATTGGGGTAAAAACATGACTTAGTCAGTTTGGAGAATTGAGAAATACGCTTAGGGCTTAGAGAAGAGAGAAAAGAAGAAAGAAAGGGAGAAAAAGGCAAGAATTCGTCAAGATCATCCAAGCTTGCGAGTGGAATTCGTCGGGGGTAATCCCTATTAAGGTATTTGAGATCTTTTCGTGTTGGGTTAGTTCACCCACACACCAACTTGTTTCAATCCAATTGTTTTGAGTTGTTTACATGTTGAAGAAGTAAGGTTATTGAAGAACAAATTGTAGATTTTTTGTTGGTTGAGTTGTTGATGTTTGGGGGTGAGTTGATTCATGTTTCCGAGTTATTTTTCGAGTTAGATTGGTTGTATATCGAGAGTACAATGGATCCTAAGTGTTTGGGGAAGGAACTATGGAAGTTAGGGAGGTTTAGAGAGGAAGAACGAAAGAGAAAAGTCGGAAGTTACTGTGCAAAAGGGCTGGGAGTCGCGCCTGCTAGAGCGCCACAAAAACTTCTCTGAAGTTTGGCCTCTGGCATGTCGCGCCAGCCAGAGCACCAACCAGACTTCTCTGAAGTTTGAGGGCAGAGCGACAGGGATGCCATCTCTCCTCATTCGTTCCCCACCTTTTCGTACTTGTTCCCAAGCAATGTACCTATGTTTTCGAGTTGTTTCCAACACTCTAAGGTACATCTAAACAGCATGAAATCATCCATAAACATGATATCATGAACCTTGAATCCATAATCCAATTCAAGGAAAGTTAAGATCAAAGTCAAAGAAGTTAAGAGTCAAAGTCTAGAAGTTAAGAAGCAAGTCAAAGCCAAGTTTCTTAAAGTTTTCAAGAGTCTTTAACAAACGTTTTAACTTCGTTTTTAGGCTCAAGTGTCAAGTTAAGCAAAGAGTAAAGAGTTGAGTTCATTTCTCAAAAAGCTATAAGGGGACTAAGTATTCCCAAAGAGTTTATAAATGTTTTCACATTTGAGCAAGAAAGGGAACATCGATTCCAAGAGAGCTTTTAAGCTAAGTTTTGAGTAATTATCTCAATTCAAAGAAAGAGTTTTGTTTTTACAAACATATGAGCTAAGTATATTTTGGGAGTAGTATTGAGCACCGATGTGGGGATGCGAGTTCATATTAACTCAAGTCTCCATAAACCGTGTAGCCATCATGGGTAGTAAATAATCATACTTTTTAGATGACTCCTTAAGATGCTTTTAGCATAGACTAGTGGATCCACTAAGTTAAGCGTTCTATATGACGACAAAGTATAGGACAGTTTTGGCAGCGTGGACAAGACGATGTATCACCACTTAGGCTCATAATGGTGGTTGTCGGTTAGAGAATCTCCCACTAAAGTTATATTACTTTTATATATTAGTAAAGTTGAGTTTGTTATTGCTTTATCCTTAACGAACTAAGTTGTTTACACTATTTTACAAGATTTATATATATTGCATGTGTCTTATTGCTTTATATTGAGTTCAGTTATTCATGAGTTAAACAGAGCGAAGGTAAGTGTTCATTTGTACTCCTTTCAAGCTTAAGTTGTGGTTTAGCATTCCAACTCGCATACTCGTACATTCAATGTACTGATGTCAGTTGGCTTGCATCCTATTATGATGCAGACGCAGGTAACCAGGATCAGCATCCAGCACGCCGTTGATTCAGTTGAGCACTCCAGAGTCAGTGTTGAGCCTCATTGCATTCCGGAGGACTCTTTTATTTCGCTTTCCTAGTTTTTTTCTTTATTATGATGTTGTGGGGTGTGTCCCAACATCCATCTCAGTATTATAGAGGCTTCATAGACAGTTAGACAGTTAGTAGTTCAGTTGTCTTTACATTATCATTCAGATGTTGTTTAAAGACTGAGTTGCCACTTTGGCTAAACTATTATTTCTCAAGTTATGTAGGAGTTATATTTTCTTATGTTTAAGTCTTCCGCTGAGTTCAGAAAGCCAGGCCAAGGGTTCGCTTGGAGCCAACAATGGTCTTCGAGTGTCGGCCACGTCCAGGGTGTAGGCTCAGGGCGTGACAACCACCTGAAGCTTCTTTTGTAAAACCAAAACTGTCTCCTACCTGACATCATCAAACAGAAGATGGAACTAATTAACTAAAAAAATTAAGGAAAAATCTTGGCGAGAAAATTTGACCAGAATGGTAAAATAACATATTTCACACTATATTATTTTACTTTTTTTAACATTTTTACCTATTTAACTTTAATACCTTTTAATTAAAAAATGGAAAAACGATCAATTTATTTTAAAATAAAAAAAATATTCTTGACTTATTAAATTTCTGATTAAATTTTCTGACCATTTAGCATTACCCATAAATAAATTTGGATATATCATATGTGAGTTCCAAAAAAAGCATATCTTCTTAAACTTGGTAGACTTTGAATTCCATGTGCCTTGTTCCACTATACATCACTCTTCGCATCACAAACTTAGTACTTTAATTTCCTCTTAGTTTTTATTTGTCTATTATACTAAAAACAGTTATCCGCCAATATTTATTTAGTTTGAAAAATTAAAAGATAACTTTTTTTTTGTGTTTATTTTATCTTTAATATTAAATACTACTATTCAGTATCTAGCATGTTTGAGTTTGGGTGAATTAATTGACAGATCATTAATTCATCAATTTAATAATTCAATTTTACTACTTAACTCATTCCATTATTTACTACTTATTTCAAAATATTTTGATCCGTTCAGATTTATTTGGCAACCCTAATACACAAATACATGCACCTGCAGGGTTTGTTGAGTCAGAACAGAAGTAGTGGACATTTTTTTAATAAAAAGTAACAGGAAGTTGATAATAGCTTTCTTCTTGGTCTTTGAAAGATCTATCATTTGCTGATGATTGACACCTGTCTTATTGGTCATTGGAGGTATAAAATGGATCGAATTTCCCCTTTAGTTAACTACTATTATTGTTCGAATCTCATTGGTTTAATCACAATATAACAGTGTTCACGTGGCCTTGGCCAATGCCAATTCGACAAATCACCCTCACCATTTTACGATACTTATCTCCAAATTTCTCTAAACTAAAAGGATTAATTATCTTCAAAGCTACGGGTAAATATTGTAAATTGGTCCATAGGCGCTCAAAGGCATGACTAAGCTTGCCATACTTTATCATTTTTCATACTTATTCCGTTAAATTATTTTCTCTGATTTAATTGTTGGGTTAAAAATATTCTTAGTACATCATATTATTAGTTTTGATTCAAATCCCTACAATTTACTCTAACATGTCTCGATACTATTAAGAATATTTAAGATTTTATAAGCAACTCTTTTTTCTTTACAACTATTAATATTAAATTTTATTCGCACACCCAACAATACTAGTTGAGATTTTATTAGGGTTTGATGGTAGAAATTTGGAAAGCAGAAAAATGTAGAGGATCAAAGTAGTATAAGTAATTAGTACGATTTTGCTTATAATAATAAGGTGGAGATATAAATAATGAAATATATAGGCGTGCACTCCATATATGTACTTGCATTTCTTCTTGATTGTCGAATCCTCCAATATCCTTCACGTGTTTGTCGACCCCATTTTGTTTTTATGTCTCTTCCAACAAACTTGAAAGGGTTAGAAATATAACACAATCTAAGGGTTAATTTTAGTGTAATTAACCCTTTAATCAAACATCAAATCAAACCTTATGTCTTTCTTTTGTTTCTGAATCCTCCATCCTTCACGTGTTTGTCGACCCCATTTTGTTTTTGTCTCTTCCAACAAACTTGAAAGGGTTAGAAATATAACAGAATTTAAGGGTTAATTTTAGTGTAATTAACCCTTTAATTAAACAGCAAATCAAACCATATGTCTTTCTTTAATTTGTTTCTATTTCAAACTAACCTAATCTATCAGCATCATGCATGTGTTTGCTTGACATGTGGACAGAAAATCCTCGATTAATTGAATCCCACAACAGGCATAATGCGTGGGCAAAAACTTGGAGCATATGCATATTGATTAAATGGTTGAACTCCTTGTAAAAAAAACTTACCTACATTCTTCCATAACGACTTGACTGCGAAATCACTTTCTTTTACGTATAAATTAAGGAAAAGAATATAGAAAACAAAGAAAGTTACTGACTTGACATGATATCTCTTCCACTCAAATTTCTAATGTAACTAGCTAGCTCCTTGTGCATGCCATGATTTTAGGAAAACTATTAGGCGTTAAAAAAAAGTATATAAATAAAAATAAAGAAAAGGGAGATATTAGTAAAAATTTACCTTTTTTGACAGGGAGGTAAAAGAAGCAAGGTCACGTGAAAATTCTCGAAAGTAACCAAAGAGTCTAGCTGTTTATCAATATCCAAAAGCCTATAAATGAGAGAGATCTCTGATATTTTATTTTTTTTTACCTTAAAAGGGTTTTCTTTTATGGATATAGTTTAAGGTTACTAAAATGGGAAAATGATTTTACCCCATTTAGAATTATTAGGGAACTCTTGGATTCCCCACGCGTCAGTAAATCATACGCGACGGCGCTATTAAAAAATAGTACCACTTATCAACTTAAAATATATTTACCAAAACAATAAACTATAATTAAATAAAAAAACACATACATTTTAAGTTGTTCCCAAAAACCAAAAGCTTATAAAAGGCTCCTTCCTGATTATGATGTTACTCACACTCTTTAGAAGACTTTGATTTCATTTCTAAAGCCCTCAACAATTAATCCAAGTAAGTTTTTTTTCTTCTTCTTCTTCTTTAGTTTTTAAAGATCTAATAGATATTGTAATTGATCTCTTCATTAATTCATTATAGATCCAAGCAAAACCCTAGATGGGAAGGGGAAAGATAGTGATCCGAAGGATCGATAACTCAACGAACAGGCAAGTTACTTTCTCAAAGAGAAGGAATGGATTGTTGAAGAAAGCTAAGGAGCTAGCGATTCTTTGCGATGCTGAAGTTGGATTGATTATTTTCTCTAGTACTGGAAAGCTCTATGAGTTTTCTAACACCAGGTATTTATAATATTTACAAGTTTTTTTCTACTAGTAATAATTTGTAGATGTGCTATATTGGAAAGTATTAGCTAGGCAATAATGTCACGAGTCTGTTTTAATTTTGACTTTTCTTGGTCATTGTAATTTGATGAATATAGCTAATAATAAGATATTTGCTCAGCATTTTTTATTTTTGTTGATAAATCACTAAACAAAAGAAGTAAAGTAAAGAAAAGTAACCATTGCGTGAGAATATTTAGTATATACAGTATCGACTCTTGGACTGTTTCATAGCATCGAGCATTTAAGAATTATAATATGAAGATCCAACCTTTATTTTGTTTTAATTGACAGTTTTTGGTTATGATATATATACCATGAGCTAATAATTAAGTTCTACAGAAAGAATATTAGAGCTTATTATATGATTATCCCATGAATTAAACAATACACATATTGGAACTCTTCGAGACATGATCTTATGTGATTTAATTAATTAAGTCGTTCATAAGCAGAATTAACACTAGTCGTCGTATACTGATTAATATATATAATTGAATGATGCTGATTTTTTTCTTTCAATTGCTTCTAGGATATTACAGCGTAATACCCTTCCCTTTTCTTCCTTAATTACATTTTATCTTTATGCTAATTGTTAAAAATAAAAAAAATCTAGCATGAAAAGTACACAAGAGTTCAACAGAATTTAGTAATTTTGATCCAAATTCGTGTAATTATGTTGAGGAATTCACGGACTATTATACATATTTAATTATAATGTTCATAAATTTTAAATTATAAATCCGTCTCTAAATTTTACCCGGGTCTCTTTTAGAAAGGCAGATATAGTAGGTTGGACACACTGGTTTGTGGGTCATGATGATATTATCCAAACTAAAATAGTAATGCTGGGGTAAAATGAATGCATATCATATTATTGTACCAAGCACAATATGAAGTTTATTATGCATAAATTGCTATAGTTTTATGTATCATATGAGGTCGGATATTGCTATCATTGTGTGAAAATTATCAAGATATTCTCATAATCACAATAGTGATATATCATTGAAAAGAAGTAGTAATAATGGTATAAGACACCATCTTTTTACCTTATTTTATAACAATAATAAAACGAGCAATAGACTTGCTTAAACAGCGAAAGAATATTTCATGAAGCTAGCTAGTTGAATAACTTTTGTATATAAATAATGATGACAAGTCAAAGTCTGACTGATGGAGAGTGATTTGAGTTTGAGTTTAATATATATAAAAAAATGTATTGCTCATTTTTAATGGAATTTGAGTTTATTGCTTTAGCATGGTGCAGGTAGAGTAGAGAGGCTATACACTACAAAAAAAATTCAAATTGTCAACAGATTTTACTAAAAACTGAAGTTGGTTAATATTCTACTAACAAATTACCAACATATTTCTAATTGAATTATATTTTAAAACTTAACAATGAAATTCTAACAGATTACCAACCAAAGTCTTACTAACTAAGTATTTTAGTTGGTAACTACGGCGGGAAAAAATGGCGCCAAATTTAGCAACATTCTATCAATGGATTACCAACTAAAATATTGCTAACGCACACCTTTTGTTGGTAATATTATCAACGAAGTATATATCGGTTGGTAAATATGACAAAAAAATTGTTTATATAATTATTTATTAACATATTACCAATTAATTACTAACCAAACATTTACTAATGGTAAGATTGTGTTGCTAAATTTACCAACCAAATATAAATGTGTTGGTAAATTAGTAACGAAATGTAATTTGTTGGTAAACTTGCCAACCAATATCCAATTAGTTAAAAAATTTGCTGACGAATAAAGATTGTAGTTAGTAAATTGCTAACACCATTAAAATAGTTGGTAATATGCCAACCGATCATTAATCCATTGGTAAACTTTACCAACATATTAATTATTAGTTGGTAATATTACACATGAATGTTTAGTTGAATAGTAACTATTACCAACTGTGATAAAATTTATTGGTAAATTATTAATTACTAACTTATATTTGAATAGTTGATAAATTTACCAATTGAAGTTAAATTTTTTGGTAAATCAGCGTCTAATGTTGAGACTTTTTGTGTCGTTAGGCGTTTTAACTTTTAAATTTTAGCCAAAACTTGACTTTGGTCAATATTTTTGATAAACGTGCTAAGATTAGAACTTTGTCAGTGTGATTAGTTTCGAAAGGTCATTTTTGATCTAACAGGAAGGTTGGTTCAAGTTTTGAGGCTTCCGTTTTTTGTTTGTGCCGTTAGGTGTTTTAAATCTTATGTTTTGGTCAAAATTTGACTTTGGCCAATATTTTTGTGAACGTGCTCAGATGAGAATTCCATCAGCTTAATTAACTCTAAAGGTCATTTTTTATCTAATAAAATGGTTGGTTCGGATTTTGAGGTTTTCATTTTTAGTGTGTGCCGTTAGGTGTTTTAACTTAAAAATTTTGGCCAAAATTTAACTTCGGTCAATATATTTGATAAAGGTGCTCAGATGAGAATTTCGTTAGTGCAGTTAGATGCGGAAGGTCATTTTTGATGTAATAGGATAGATGGTTCGGGTTTTGAGGCTTCCGTTTTTAGTTTGTGTCGTTAGGCATTTTAACTTTTAAGTTTTGGCCAAATTTTCACTTTAGTCAATATTTTTGGTAATCGTGCTCGAATTGAAATTTTGTCACCGCGGTTAGTCATATAAGTTCAGTTTTGGTCTCATAGGATGGTTGGTTCGGGTTTTGAGACGTTTATTTTCAGTTTGTGTCGTTAAGCGTTTTAACTTTTGGCTAAAATTTGAATCAAGTCAATTTTTTTGAGAAACATGCTCAAATTTGAATTTCATCAGTGCGGTTAGCTCTGAAATGTCATTTTTCGTCTAATAGGATGGTTGGTTTGAATTTTGTTAGGCGTTTTAACTTTTAACTTTTGGCCAAAATACGACTTTGCTTAACATTTTTTGTAAACGTGCTCTGATGAGAATTTCGTCAGCACGATTAGCTTCGGAAGGTCATTTTTATATCTAATAGGATGGTTGGTTCAGGTTTTGAGGCTTCCATTTTCAGTTTGTGCTGCAATATTTTTGGTAAGCGTTCTCAAATTAAATTTTTTGATATAATGATATGTGTCATATTGAGATTAATTTAACTTGTTATCATAGATTTTGCATTGTTTAATTCAAATATGATTTATAAAAATATTTTTGAATTTATATTCGTGTTCTTAGATTTTTAAATGCAATAAATTAATAAATATTTTACTATTGAATAATCATTCAGTTAATAATATTTTGAACATATTGTCAATCAATTACTAACATTGAACATGAATGATATATTACCAACAAACTAACAATCAATTAGTAAATTTATTAGAAAAACAAATAATCATACTAACATATTTAAAATTTATTACCAACAAGGGTTGTAGTGAAGTGGTAAGTACTCCTTCATCCTTAACAAAGAGGTCTTGGGAAACCAAAAATAAAGTATTTAAAATTTATTGGTAAATTACCAACATAAATTTTCTGCTACTAAAATTGCCAACACATTACCAATGTATCTGGAAAAGTTTATTATCAGTCATTTGTTGCTATAATTACCAATAGAATCTGTTGCTATAATTACCAATGGAATCGAATAATGAAAAAAAAATTTACTAACGAATTGAAAAGGTTAGTAAAGGTACTAACGATATACTAACAAAAAACTAGTTGGTGAATTTACTAACGGAAATTTCAGGGTCATGTTTCAAAATTTTGTAACAACATCTTTGGGTGTTTACCAACTGATTTTTGGTTGGTAATTTTACCAATAAATTAAAATCAGTTGGTAATATTTACCGATGAGCCTTTTAGCAACGGATTAATATAAGTTGACATTTGATTGGTAACTCAATTTGCCAACCAATTTGATCAATTTACCAACGAATTTTTTATTGGTAATTGGGATTCTTTTTGTAGCTAAGTGCAAAGATATGTAGTACAACTTAATATAAAGTTGCCAAAATAAATCTTGGCATATCTTTATATGACATTAATACTCAAAGACGATTGATTATTAATGAACTTATTAGAACTATTGTTTAGTAGGGACTAAAGAAATTTTTACTGACTCGTCGACTAAAGGACTCTCAAGATCCCACTGATACAATTTTGAAACAAACATTAATTTTGATAATGTCTCGAAAAGTTTATATATACAACTAGTAGGTTTAAGTTGAAGCTATACCTAGTGACTATTTGATTATGCCTTGGATAACTATACCAACTACTAATTAAGTGGAAGATTATAGTGTAGTTAGTGAAAGGCGGCCCTCGGAGCAATGATAAAGTTTTCTTTGTGTGGCATATAGATTACAGAAGCAATTATTAATACTTGCAAAAGAATAAATTTTATGCATCACACTTCTAAAATTTTTTAGACCGTATATAAATACAAAATGCTTCATGCATCAACTATATATAGGGTAGTTAGGGAGAGGAACAAATAAAGAAGTGTTGTACAAGTTGTAGCAAAATATTTGGAGAAAAGTCAAAGTTTTTTATCATATTAAATGTAAGAAATTAAATATAATTTATTTGATCCATCTTTTAAAATTTTCAAATTATGTAATTACTTTTTGTCTTGTTCTATATTTGTAACATATGGCCTCCATATTTAAGAGAGATACTAGAAGCTGCTTCCCTCTTTGCCATAGGATGGCATGATCTGTTATAGAACTATCATAATTTGCTTTGAAATTTTTTTCATGATATACTTTGTCTTTTAAGTTCTAAAACTCCACCATCTTTGAATTTTTATTTTCATTGCTTGTAGGACATGTTTGATGAGGATCATTCTTCCTCATATTGAGTGAACTTTTGCTTTGTCATGATCTATTAAGTACCTTATTGTCATCCATGCTATCAAAGTATACAATTCATTTCCTTCACTTGACTATAGAAATAGGACAACACAGGTAGACAAATTAATTCTAAAAAATTGCCCATGAAACTAGTGACTTTTCTCATTCTGTTGATCCTAGATGGAGCAAACCTTTGGAGTTCGGAGCCAAAAGGGCCACAAATTTTTTCGAAAATTCCAAAAGGGCAACTAAATTATTTATCAAATTAAAAGGATAACTAATTTTAACGGTGTTTAAATCAGGGTTTTCGCCGCAAGGCGCAGAAATCCATGTGCCTTACAAGGCTATGGCAACTTTTAGCCTTACAAGGCGCAAAAAAAAAAATCGTTTTCTGAATTGTGTAAAATTTGCCAATCAAGTTCCATTTTAGCATATGAATTTAAACTAAAAATTCGGAAAAAAAAAAGTAAAACAAAAAACAAAAAAAGTCTCAAGTATACAGTGTTGTTTTCACCTGTCACAAGTCAAGCCTCTTGCACCTTGTTTCATTATATTTTCTGAATCAAATCAACATTGTAGTTTCGCATGACATATTTTTACAATGTTGAATTAAATCAATACTGTAAAAGTTTCACGCGGTATAAGTTTCAACGAAAAAATAAAATAAAATACTTCAATTAGTAGTAAAAATTTATTAGATAAAGTGAATAAAAATAATTTAATAAATACTATATTAAAATTACAAATAAATAATTTTTTTTAAAAAATAATTAAAAAGTATATATATAAAAAGCATAAACTAAAAATTTGAAAAGTATTCCCACGCCCATACTTTTTTTTCCCGAATTTTTAGTATAAATTCATATGCTAAAATGGAATTCGATTCGCAAATTTTTACTCAATTCAGAAAATGATTTTTTTTTTAAAAAAAAAACAGCCTGCAAAACGCAGGTGGGCCTGCGCCTTGTAAGGCTTAAAGCTGCCATAGCCTTGTAAGACGCATGGATTTATGCGCCTTGCGGCGAAAACCCTGATTTAAACGTCATTAAAATTTGTTGCCCTTTTGGTTTGATAAATAATTTAGTTATCCTTTTGAAATTTTCAAAAAAATTTGTTGCCCTTTTGGTTGCGGACTCCAAACCTTTGGATTAGTAATGAAAAAGCTCACTACTCAATTTTTATACAAAAAAATTCTCAATATTCTTACTATTTTGATGCATATATAACAAAGTCTCATGGATTTATTATTCCCATCAATAAAAATACTGTTTCATTTGCATATCTTAATTAATTAGTTTGAGGACCTCTTGAGTTTATGGTGAAAACTGTGAAATCATGGCATTGACATAGAAATTTAAGCATTTGCTCCTAAAATACAGAGGGAAGGAGAGAGGGAATCCTCTTATTTCAAACCCTAACTATTAATAACGAAAAATCATGAGATAACCAATTTTTTAATAATAGTAATTCATAAGCATGAAGTAAACAAGATGATCATCACAGAGTATATAATATACTCTATAATGATATAACATAATGATCTTCATGTATGATGTTTTGCTTTATTTTCTCCCAACTTTCAACAGCCATAAAAATTACATATGCAATTTGTTAGTACAATGACAGTGTAAAAAACATTTATAACAATAATAAATTAACCATTTAATATTAACGTATATATTAAATTTTGAAGAAATAGCTGACATTGGGAGTAAATATATATGACAGCATGAAATCAGTTATTGAACGATACACCAAAACGAAGGACGATTGTCAGCAATTGCATAATCCAGTGCCAGAACTCAAGGTAATATTCAATCAACAAATAATCGTCTGAATTGACTGTTTTCATTTATTTTTAGCCGGAATGGATACATGATAAATTATTTCGTTTGTACTATTCTACGTACCTTCATATTCCTATAGCTTGTAATCATAAATGTATATATAGGCAATAGCAACAACATGAATTCTCAGGTAAATAGCTTGGTATATATTCTTGTAATGAATCTCAGGTAAATAACTTTGGAAGCATAAATTTAATTTGAACCTTAAAACGATCATTTGAATTACTGCAATATAATATTGGCCAAATTCAGGCTTTTTTTACACTATTGTGCAGGTTATTTGAAATGTAAAATCCTGCAAACTAAAATCTAGAAAAGAAAGTATACTATTTATTATTCAAAATCTGTATATAGCCTGAGTAAATTGTGCTTGCTATAGCTGTGGCAGAGGGAGGCAGAGATCTTGCGGCAACAACTACAGGATCTGCAAGGGAATCAACGGTAATGTTTACTCGTTAAAACATGCTTTTACTTTACAATATATAGCATCAAAACAGGCTTACGAACCAATTCATACATCAGGATTTTCAAGGCAATAGCATCTTATTTTTGGTCTGTACTTGAACAAATATATATACCAGATAAATTTATGGACTCATGGAATTCAATGTTTGCACATGAGTTTAACAAATTGCACTGACTATTATTATTCAATAGGCAATTATTGGGAGAGGAGGTAAGTGGTTTGGGCGTAAAAGAACTAACAGATCTGGAGAATCAACTGGAAATGAGCTTAAAGGGAATCCGTATGAAAAAGGTCAGCAATCAATCCGATGATACTATCAACTAATTAGTCTTTGGAACTAAACATTTTCTGACTTTATAGGAGCAAATATTGAAGGATGAAATTCAAGAGCTAACTCGAAAGGTACTATAGCAGCATTCATCATGTGATATGATTAGATCAGAAATCGAAAAATTGATCTGAGAACTCGTGATCATATTCCTATTGAATTTATGCAGGGGAGCATAATACATCAAGAAAATTTGGAACTCTACAAGAAGGTAAATCTCATTCGACAAGAAAATGCAGAATTGTATAAAAAGTTAGCAGTACTTGAGTTTCCTTGCATAATTACATAGTTAAAGCTAATACTGCAAAAAAGATAACTTTATTCTTTCAGGCTTATGGTACAAGAGATGCTCATGCAGTGAATGGAAACATCAACTATATATATCCGTATCGCTTTACAGTGAGTAGAGAAGTTCAGGCCCCCATCCATCTGCAGCTAAGCCAGCCTGAGACACAAAATTTTGAGATGCAAGTAGGAACATCTGATTCAAGGTACGTAAGACGTCAATTATAGTTTTAAGTTTTGTGCACTAATAATGTAATAGATTTTTATAGGACTTTTGCTACTGTAAACCTCTGTTTAAGAGAGTTGACGTTAATAATATATTAACAAGCTGGATTTTATCTAGTCACAGAGATTCAGAACTTTCTCAAACAAGTTCCCAGCAATTCTCTGAATGAATTGCAAAATTCAGCAATCATAAGCCGGTTTAGACCTGAGTGTTGAGCCTGACTTTCCAATTAATTGTCCAGTAACTCAATCCAAAACTAGGGACCTTAACAACTAGCATGGTTACAAACCATTCATTTCCTACAAGACAATTATTGATATTTTGACCTTTTTACAGGTAGGTGTCAATGATGGCAGTAAGGATCAATGACTTAACAACCTAAACTACAGGGCAGCAGAAGAGGAGAAATAACTAAAAGAAGGATTGCAGTGTTTCTATATATATATATATATATATATATATATATATATATATATATATCTATATATATATACTAGTTTTTTGACACGTGCGTTGCACGTGATTACCAATTTCAAAAATATATGTTATAGTAAATAGTATTGCTTATTTAAGCGAAGATTTGAATAATAAGATTAGCAAAAAATAATACTCCCTCCGTTTCAAAAAGAGCTATCTAGTTTGACTTGACACGGAGTTTAAGAAATAAAGATGACTTTTGAAAAAAATTATTAGTTAAATGCAATTATGTATACATTTATTTCAATTTGATGAGGTTCAATCATGTAATCAGTCTTATCTCACTAATGTTACCTTATAGATAATATTTGTTTTGTATTTTTCTTGTCATCTAACCAGATGTGCTTTGCATATGTATTTTACGTTAAATAGTTTAGATGTCATATGAACATGTGAAGAGAACAACTACATTTTAAAATTAAATTATTTTCCTCAAGTACTCGAGGTTATGGAATGTACCCTCTTAGGATAGAACGACTTACTTCATCAGAATAGTGGTACTTCATATTCTGCTAAACTTCGAATTCACTCAACGACAATATATTACACAAAAAAAAAATTGCAAGAAGAATAGTAGAAGATTAGAAAAAATTGTGGTTGGAAAATGAGAGGAAATCCCTCTATTTATAGTAACAAAGGGTAGTATGAACAAATATTTTTTGTGTCTTATCTGAAAAATCATGACCTTTCCGAGAAGTCACAACACTTCGAAAAAGTCACAACCTAATGAAAAAGTCACAATTCTTTGGAAAAGTCACAACTTATTGAAAAAGTCACAACTCTTTGAAAAAGTTACAACTCTTTGGAAAAGTCACAACTCAGCAAAAAATCACAACCCTTTGAAAAAAGTCACAACTTATTAGAAAAGTCACAACTCATCGAAAATGTCACAACCTAAGTTAGGAATATTATAATAATTTAACATTCAAGTTAGGAGTTCATGCTTTTAAGGTTATATGAAATATATATATATATCTATATATAATAGGAGAAGCAAAAGGCGCCACATGTCAGCACCACAAAAATTTCACAATTTTAAAATTTAAAAAATAATTTAAAAATCTTTTAAATATGTATCTTAAATTAAACCAAAAGAAATAAAAAAAGACTAACCAACTATTTTTAAAAGGTGAATTTTTAAATAATAGTAACAATAATAATAAATACTTATCGTACTAATAAAAGTAATTATAATATAATATTATAATAATGTTTGTAACAATGTATTTAAATTGCTAATCAGTTTTCATGACAACTTTTTTAAATATACTTTAAATAATAAATAACAATTGAAAAATAAAAAAACAAAATATAAACTTAAAGTATTTCTTAAATTAACATTTTAAAACTTATTTAAATTAATAACAGTGTAAAACTTACGTGAATTGAAATAGGAAAAAAAAACACTGCCATTTTGATAGATCTCTTAAAGAATATTATTTCTTTTTTTTTAAAATAATATTTTTTCTTTATAACTTAAAAAAGTAGAAAAGAAAAAATAAAATAAAAACGTGCATCAATCGTTTTAAATAAATAAATAAATAGCAAAACTACCCGCACATTAAAAAAATCTGTTAAATGAAGATATACTTTAGTTTTTAAAAAATAAAAAAAATATTTTAAATGTGTTTTTTTCAAAATAAGTAACCAACTCACATAACCATTTTTTTTTAAATGGCAAAGTAGTTACTTTTTGAATTTGAATTTAAAGTGGTTACCTAAAACTACTCTACCCATTATCTCTATTCCCTATATATACATAAAAAAAATAAAGTCATTAACAAAATTAATTGATCTATTCTTCTTCAAATGTGTAGTATTATTTGTTGAATTATTTCCATTCTTCTTATCTTCATCTTTTTATGGAGCGAATAGGTATATTATTTGACGGCTAGCCGGAAAAAAGAGTTTGAATATACTTGCAAATAACAAAGTGAAAGTCCAAGAAGAAGAAGAACAATATTCATGCAAGTTGAAATCTTCTGCAAATGATGATATTGTTAGATCTATAATGTCTTTTTGTGAATTTTATTTAGTTTATTTCATTCAATTTGATTTGTTTGTCATATATTGTACTTAAATTCTTTAGATCGAATGAGTTTTTTATGTTCTTCTTTTATTTACATTTGTAATCTTTGATGATTTTTATTGTGATTAATATTTTTTTTCGATTGTGTTACTTTTTATTTAATCTAAGTGAAGTTATTCTAATACTTTTTATGTTATCATTTTCTGTTAGTTTTTTCTATTCAATCATTTATACTAACATGCTTTCATATTATTGAATTATTGGTCATATCTTCACATTTATTAAAATGTTAAATATATGCAATTAAAAATCGTTGTTATGGAATCATTAATATAATAATATTGATAGATGTGTAATATAATTTATTATCATAGTTATGCATGCTACCTCACTTTCTTATATATTTTTATTTTAATAATAGATTTGTGGGTGATAAAATATTAGAGTATGAATTAGAATTTGATTAATTTTATTTGTACTTGTATGTTATTTTTTAATTTAATTTTAGAGCAGCTAATCGAATACTTTTTAATTTTATTATTTTCTGTTAATTTTTTATTCCGTCATTTATATTAACATGTGTTTATTATTGAATTATGGATGTATTCTTCTTCAAATGTGTAATGTTGTCTGTTAAATTATTTCTATTCTTTTTATTTAGTGAATAGGTAAATTATTTAATGACTGGCTGGCCGAATAAAATTTGATTATATTTGCGAATAACATAGTAGAGGTTCAAGAAAATAAGAACAATATTTATCAAAGTGAAAATCCTCTGCAAATAATGATGTTGTTAGATCTAGAATGTCTTATTGTGTTGTTTTTTTTAGTTTATTTCATTCAATTTGATTTATTTTTGTCATATTTTGTACATAAATTCTTTAAATCAAATGATTGAACCATGAATCTATTCTTCTTCAAATGTGTAATGTTGTTTGTTAAATTAGTTTCATTCTTCTTATCTTCATTTTTTTATGGGGTGAATAGGTCGATTATTTGATGGCTAGCCAAAGAAATTTGAATATATTTGTAAATAAAAAAGTGGAAGTCCAAGAAAAAGAAGAACAATATTTATCAAACTGATATTGATAAGTATAATGTCTTATTGTGACTTTTTAGTTTATTTCATTCAATTTGATTTGTTTTTGTGATATTATGTACTTAAATTCTTTAAATCAAATGAGTTTTATATGTTTTTGATTATTGGATTATTGGTAATATATTCACATTTTTAAAATGCTAAATATGTGCAATTGAATATCTTAATTACTATGGAAATATTAATATGATGTATCGATAAATGTAGACTATCATGATTTATGCATATTATTCCACTTTCTTATATCTTTTTAGTAATATACTTGTGAGTGATTAAATATTAAAGTATGAACAAAAATTTGTTCATTTGTTCAGTTAAATTTATTTAAAATTGTTACTATACTTAAAATAAATGGTTTGTCTTTGAAATTTAGAACCTTCAAACCTATAGAATATACAACTATTCTAAAAATTAAATGTACAAAAAAGACTTCTTATATTACAAGGTATCAGATAATTTAAAATTATTTTGTCAATACTGAAATAAATAATAGGTCATTTAATTAATTAGAAATTTCCATTTAATTAATAAGAGAATATGTACTATTGTATATGAGATCGAGACAAATAGTAACATGTTTCAAAATATTAGATCAAAGCGAACTCAAAATTAAGATTATTTTTTTTATAACGTGTAATTCAAACATTTTAAAAAAATATAGAATTTATATAAACTTTTAAATAGTTAATTAGGAATTATAAAATTATTTTTAAATGATATGTTAGTTATTTTAAAATTATAAAATTATTTGTAATTTTTTAAATAATTGAGACTAACAAATTAAAAGTTCAAATTTTGAAATTATTTTGTTTGTTCAAAAATATTTTTATTTGTACGTACCTCAATTTTTATCTCAATTATATAGAAAGTTTAATAGTGATCATAAATAATTTCAATCATTATTATTAATATAACATTAGAAGAATTAATACTAAAAGTATTTATGTTAATAAAATTAAATTGTTGTATGTATTATTGATATATGATTAAAGAAAATAAAACGGGGAAGAAAATAATAAGTAAATATTACACGTTGTATTAAAATATATTTAAGTTAATAAAAATAGAAATTGTTGTAATTATTATTTTTTATGATTAAACAAAAATAACAATTTGAAGAAAATAATAAATAAAAATTACACATTGTATTAAAATAATAAGTACTAAAAACTATGATAAATTTTATAATAGTCATAAAAGAAATTTACGCAGTAATTACTACAATAGAATACTAGAAAAATTGATAAGTTCCTTGACATCTAATCTTTTTCGAAAGTTTAAAAGTAACTTATTCACTATTTGTAATTAATTATTTTCAATGATTAATAAAAAATGTATATATCATGTACATGTTTCTATTATTATGACATTATTTTATATTGACTCTATTTTAAATTATTTTTCTATTATCGTTTGACACAAATTTAAGAATGTAAAGAATATTTTGAATCTTTTGGATTTGAAAAAAAAATATATGCAAAATATACTAACATGTCATTTAATCTTATGATATTTTACATTTCATGTGAAATATTTTTAACTAATAAATTGTTAATACAAAAAA